CTCGTCAACAGCATAGTGACATTTTTTATCTCTACCTACAGCATGGTTCAGATGATATGAGCTGATTTTATAATGAAGCCAACTTTCAATACTGTCTGTTGGATATACAACTACATCTATTAAACTTTTTATCTGTTATCATTACTTTGGACTGCAGGTGTTTCTGCTGAAAATACCCTGAACATGCCTGGACATTCCAACTGAGTCAGCGATATTGTGCTGCCATTCCTATAGTGCTCTTCGATATATGTTATTTTGTTCTTACACATTGCTCCTGGTGGTCATCAGAGCGGCTGAAGGTTGGCCCTTCTATATTATATTTTTATAGGAATACTTTTTATCTAACTCATTCCCTATGAAGGTTACCAGCGCCCAGTTGTGAGTTTTTATATGTCAGCTCAGGAAAGTCAATAGTCAGTCAGAAGTGACAGTAAGAATGGCAATTTTGGACACACATAGCTCCCTTGACCTGTTGATGCTGGCTGCACACATGTGCTACTCCCAGCACAGTAGCCGGTAAGCCCCTGATGCATATTGTGAAGGTCCACCTTTCGGCTTTTAGAGCCTTAAGGCAGTCAGCGCCAAGGGATTAACAACTACCTGCACCTAATTCAGGCAACAATGATGTAGTTTTAACATTTTAAAAGGACAAAAGCAGCTTTTCATCAAAAAATAATCAACATGAGAGTGGACATATGTCAGAAAAAAAAGGAGGACATAGGGGTTGATTTACTAAAACTGGAGAATGCAAAATCTGGTGCAGCTCTGCATAGAAACCAACCAGCTTCCAGGTTTTACTGTCAAAGCTTATTTGAAATTTGAACAAGTTAGAATCTGATTGGCTACCATGCACAGCTGCACCAGATTCTGAGTGCTCCAGTCTTGGTAAATCAACCCCATATTGTAAATACTCCATAGACAGCAGTGAAGCAGTTGTAGTAAACTGCATTTTGGAGGGGACACACAGTATGCAGCTTTTCAACCTAAAAATCCACATTAGAGTATACAGTATATATTCAATTCCACATTAGAGAATATATAGAGTACAACAGTGTCCTCGATGATCTTACCCCCACACATATACAAATTTAGTATTTGGGGGGGTGAACCATACCCCCGGTAAGCCTGCCCCAGGCCCGCCTTTCCCTCTCTGTTCCTCCTCCTCCTACTCCTCTTCCTCCTGCTGTCTCTGTCTCACAGGGATGGAATCACTTGTAAAAAGATCCTGCTGGCCCTGAGACACCAAGAAATCCTGCTCTTCCTCTTGCTTCCTCTTTCAATGCCTGGTCTGTTACACCATACAGTATGTGCTCCAGAATGAACACCAGAGGGATTGTGTTGCTATCCCACCATTCCATATCTCAATATTCTGGTTTTCTCTTTGGATAATGATGAAAACTTGGTACTCTGATCTAGGATCCACTGGCATGGTAAAAAAAAAAAACCCAGAGACTGTCCCTACCTGTTGCTCATACAAATACTGTCCCTATCTTTTGATCACACAAATACTGCTGCTGCGGCATGGTCAATGACGCGCTCCAATGCATGGGTACATGAGTGGCTTGCATTGGCACTGCATTTCAGCCAGGCGAACACTCACTGTATATGACCAACTAAAGTGGTAGTTAGACATGTGCATGCCGCCGAAATTTTAATTTTGTCTTGGATACATTCATTTATTAAAGCATTTCATATTGTCATTTTTTCGTTATGTTGGGCAAATTCAGTTATGGAATTCATCTTGAGCATTCGTTTCATGTATTCGTCAGTTGGATTTTGCAGTTTTTCCAAAAGATTCCTATATATTTGATATACTAGCGAATTGGACAGATTTGAATTGGAAGGATTCAGTATTTTGGGATTGCCAGCTTCCATGAGACAGAGAATAAGGTAAGTATACCCACTATCCAACTCTATATGCTAATTGTGCATTTGATTCTTAATGTATGGGGGGCACTGCATAGTTTAAAGTCCCCGGCATCTAGACTTCTTTTTATAAGGGACTGATTCTAAGCCTATCTTATTGCTTCCACTTCTACTAAAATTTGCTTTTTTATCACTGTTTGTGTTCCCATTGAGAAGATTACCCCTCATGGTCTCTAACAATGACGTGACAATCATAATTATTGCCAATGAGCACACAGACAGCAAAATAAGTGCTTTATTATTCTCCATGTCTCCACAGGAAAGATTTCTGTTTTCTTTATAAGTATGTGACACAAGCACAGGAAGTAATGGGACAACTCTTCTGGAGCATACAGGCACTGGAGAGGAAAACAGGAAATCATCCTTTGCTAGAGCTGGATTGTAACCATTATTAATGACAGAAAAATATTCACTCTGGTGTTTTACAGTAGCAATTGAATAAACTTCTTATTGATAACAACAATGTAAGAATTTAAAAAAAAGGCCTCTTTTGTAATAACATTGCTGAACTTTACTAAATATCTTTCATTCAGCTAAATAAATAATTCTATTAATTTATCACTTAACCTTTTCTTTTTCTTGGAAATTGTATTGTAAACATTCAAAGGTACAAAATTTATTGAGCAAATGTCTGGCTAAGCTTATTTTTCCATCCAAAACTGACTTCCAATGTCAGTCACAAATGCCCCGCAGCAAACAGCACAGGGTACAGGAGAGGTCATAGAGTACAAAACAGAAAACATAGTGAGGAACCATTGAAACAGAGTAAAAAAAGCTATGTCCACTACAAAAACTAAGGACAAGCAGAAAATGAAGAAATATTCATATAAAGACTTAATAAAATATTTACTAATTTTGTGGAATATTTCAGACTCTAATATTTCAATCAGTGCGAGATATTTCTTCCTTTATGTAGGTCAGCACCTCTCAAAGATAATGTCACAGGAAAATAGCAATTGTGGTATGTGCAAAAATTTGGACACCCTTTCACTTGTCCACTGATAAACATTCTGTTTGCAAATCCCAAAACAAAAATTCCCACATTAGGCCTTAAAGAGACCCTCTCCCCAGATTATTCATTGCAACTCAATTAATTTCCCATAAAATTACATATGTGTATTTACCATAAATAATACATGTTATTGACCTGTAAAGCAGCTCATATGTGCCAATGCTTGAAACATGCAAAACATTGTTGGGAATGTCCGGTTTAGTTCCCCAGTTTGGCCTTGAGGTGTCACCACAGTTAGTTATGAGAGTAGATTCAGGGATGTTGAAGTGAGTAAGCAGCGCGGTCGCCTAGATAGCCACTAAATGTCCCTAGAGTAGTAGTGGGGTGTGAGTCTAGGAAGTGCCGACCCTGTTCATGCCAGTGTGGGGCATCTTGGAATATAGAGCTCAGATATATATATTCTTGGCTGGAGTTCTCTAGGGTCTTCATGGAAAGTATTTGGAGGACCAAATTACAGCAAAGATGTAGTCTGTGACGCTCTGTCCATTTGAGTTCCTTCTCGGAAATGAAGCAATGAGGGAGAAACAGGATTATTTGTGACTTCCCTTTGCATGGGATGTTGGACTCTGGAATCTCCCTAAAAAGTATGGCATACTTGATTCCACTCCCCTCTCACCTACTTTCTCTCTGCTGTTTGTAACCTTAAGGAATGTGCTGTCACCACTGGGATGACTGAAGGATGTAGAGCGCACATGTTTCCACACCACATGGTTAGCTGTACACACGGAGAAAATACAGTCCAGCACATGGCTACTATTAAATGGTGTAAAATGTAACCCTTTGGCTGCAATCACCAAAGGTTGACTGTAGAATAAAATAAATAGCATTTGATGTAGCAGGCGCCATGCAGACTGTTAAATAAGTGGGTGGAAATAGGCATCATGGTTTGTTGTGTATTGGGCTACGTAACTACAGACCTTTCCAGGTGCCTATGCTGACCTGTTAATACTGCCAAAAAAGCCTACAATGGGCACGTGAGCATCATAACTGGACCATGGAGCTATGGAAGAAGGTGGCCTGGACTTATGAATCATATTTCTTTTTACATCATGTGGATGGCAGAGTGCATATGCATCACTTTCCTGGGGAAAAGATGGCACCAGGGTGCAGTATAGGAAGAAGGCAAGCCAGCAGAGACAGTGTGATGCTTTGGGCAATGTTCTGCTATGAAATCTTGGGTCCTGTCACTAATGTGGATGTTACTTGACATGTACCATGTACCTAAACATTGCTGACAAAGTACACCACTTCATGTAAATGGTATACCCTGATGGCAGGGCCCTCTTTCAGCAGGATAATACCCCCTGCCATATTAAAAAAAGGTTCAAGAATGGTTTGAGAAACAAAACAATGAGTTTGAGGTGTTGACTTTGCTTCCAAATTCTCCAGATCTCAATCCAATCAAGCACCTGTGGGATATACTGGATAAAACAAGTCTGATCCATGGCGGACCCACCTTGAAAGTTATAGGACTTAAAGGATCTGCTGCTGACAAATTGGTGCCAGATACCATCATCAGAGGTCTAGTGGTGCCCATGCCTTGATGGGCCAGGGCTGTTTTGGTGGCAAAAGCGATACCTACTCAATTTTAGGTGGGTGGTCATAAAGATATATACTGTAGCAGAGTGTCTCAAAGGGGTCTGGAAAAGTCCTGTTTGGGGTTTACACATCTCCCAAGCTCCTCTGATACAGTTTGATTCTCTGTCCAGTTTAGGTTTTGCACTTCTCCCTTTTGCCAATTTAGGGTCACCTGGCACTTGGGGTCCATGAGAGCTGCAAAGATGGGAGCTGTAAAGCTGTATATCAACATTGACAAGCCTGACTCAGCTTGCTAGTAAGGACGTGAATGTATGTACTAAGTGTCAGGACATAGCTAGGATTTTGGTTTGGAGTTTTTGCCATATTTATTTTGTGAAACACCGTACATATATATATATATATACAGTATATACATACATACATACATACATACACTATTTGGTCACCCCTCCAAATCATTGAATTCAGGTGTTCCAATCATCTCCATGGCCACAGGTGTATAAAATCAAGCACCTAGGCATGCATGCAGACTGCTTCTACAAACATCTGTGAGAGAATGGGTCACTCTAAGGAGCTCAGTGGTACCGTGATAGGTTGCCACCTGTGCAATAAGTCCATGTGTGAAATTTCCTTGCTAAAAAAATATTTCACTGTTAGTGGTATTATAACAAAGTGGAAGCAAGTGGAACAACAGCAACTCAGCCACAAAGTGGTAGGCCATATAAAATGACAGAGCGGGGTCAGCGCATGCTGAAGTGCACAGAAGTCACCAACTGTCTGCAGAGTCAATAGCTAAAGACAAAAATTCATGTGGCCTTCAGATTAGCACAACAACAGTCCATAGAGAGCTTCATGGAATGGGTTTCTATGGCCGAGAAGCTGCATCCAAGCCTTACATCACCAAGTGCAATGCAAAGCGGTGGATGCAGTGGTGTAAAGCACGCTGCCACTGGACTCTAGAGAAGTTGAGACATAATCTCTGGAGTGAGGGAATCATGCTTCTCTGTCTGCCAATCCGATGGACTTGTCTGGGTTTGGTGGTTGCCAAGAGAACGGTACTTGCCTGACTGCATTATGCCAAGTGTAAAGTTTGGTGGAGGGGGATTATGGGTGTGGGGTTATTTTTTAGGGGTTGTCCTTGGCCCATTAGTTCCAGTGAAGGGAACTCTTAAGGCGTCAACATACCAAGACATTGTGGACAATTTCATGCTCCCAACTTTGTGGGAACAGTTTGGGGATGGCCCCTTCCTGTTCTAACATGACTGTGCACCAGTTCACAAAGCAAGGTCCATAAAGACATGGATGAGTGAGTCTGGGGTGCAGGAACTTGACTGGCCTGAACTGAGTCCTGACCTCAACTCGATAGAACACCTTTGGGATGAATTAGAGCGGAGACTGTGAGCCAGGCCTTCTCGTTTGACATCAGTGCCTGACCTCACAAATATGCTTCGGGAAGAATGGTCAAACATTCCTATGGCCACACTCCTAAACCTTGTGGACAGCCTTCTCAGAAGAGTTGAAGCTGTTATAATTCCAAAAAGTGGGTCAACTCAATATTGAACCCTACGGACTAAGATGTAGGGATGCCATTAAAGTTCATGTGTGTGTAAAGGCAAGCGTCCCAAACAATACTTTTTATGGGACGCTATACTACAAAATACTCCCACAAATGCAGGCCGTTAATTGCAAACAAGATCTGTTAATGTGCACACACAAAAAAGTATTTTTCCTAACCAATTCATTCAAGACCATGTTGCAAAAATGAATAAAAGTGATTTTAATTATTCATTAAACAGGTGTCCAGCAGACAGTTGTTTATAAAAGTGTGTTACTAACAAAGAAAACTCCTTCCCATTTCATACTGTCAGCAGTGGTACCATATGGAAGAGAAATGTCACAAGGCCTGAGAAAGAAAAAAATAATTTATTTATACAAGAAAGGTGAAGGCTACAAGAAGATCAGTAAAGCTTTACTTATCAGTCTGTAGCAAAAGTGATATCAAAATGTAACAACGATGGGACTGCAACAATCTTACAGAGATGTTCAGGCTGTCCACAGACGTTAACACCTTGACAGGAGCATCTTCTGATGAGAAGGATTGAAGAAAATCACCATGCAAGTTCACTTCAGTTAACTAAAGAAGTAGAAAGCCACACTTTAAAAAGTGTGTGGGGTTCCCCCTAAAAGCCATGCCAGGCCCTTTAGACCTGGTAGGACTTTTAAGGGGAACCACACCTCCTAAAAATGAGGGGGAAAAGTGCATTGGGTTCCCCCTAAAAGCCATACTAGGCCCTTTGGGCCTGATAGGCCTTTAAAGTGAAACCCACCCCCAAAAAAAGGGTGGGAAAAGAGTGGGGTCCTCCCTAAATTCCCACCAGACCCTTGATCCGAGCACAGGCCTGGCAGGGCAGGAAAGGGGAGGGGAGGGGAGGGGGAATAGAGTGCCCTCCCTCCCCCTGCAGTTTACCAGGCCACGTACCCTCGGCATGGGACAATAATTTGCTTTTTTTTTCTAACAGAGCTTCTACTGGATGATTACTTGTGGTCTGTCTAAAACAGTACAAATGAGTTGACAAGACCAGAAATTACAGATTTAGGGACAATCCCACCTACTATGTCTAAAAGTACCAACTGCTGAATAGCCTCTAAAACAAGCAGAAGGGTATCCGGTAGCCACCCTAGAAAGACAGTAAAGTACTATGTACCAACACATTAACATTTTATAATTTGTTTCATTAGCTAAGACATTGATAGAACTGTTTGATGTATTAGATCATATATCTTGCTAATCCACTCAAGGGATATCAGTCATGAGGTCAGGGGCTCAATTAGAAATATATTCAGGTGATGAGGAAAAGCAGGATATTAGTAGCAATGTATAGATGGTGGAGATCGTTCTCTCGAAGAATGAGGATTTGTATTACAAAAATGTTCAAAAGCTTTAAGCTATAATGGTGTCAGAGTAACATGGCAGGGAAGACTTGTAATGTTTGATTTGAACATTTCATTAAATGTCTCAGGGATTCAAATGCTATAAATTCAGAGAAACATAGAAGATTGAACAGGTGGGTTCATTTTGTGCATGACCACAAAGGAAAAGCTTGGGAAGAGTCCTATCCAGGAGAAAAAAAACAGCAGCCTAGCAAGGGGGGTAAAGGAAGGGGAGTAGATATAAATTTGCTAGAGTATTTGGTTACATCCCTTACCTTAAAGCAGTGCTTCTCAATTATTTTCTGTCATGCCCCCCCTAGGAAGAAGAAAACATTTTGCTCACCACCCCCGCGCGCGACTGTAAATAGTATCATTTGTCTATAAAATTGTTATAAGTAGGAATAGTGCCCCATCGTTGGTGTCAGTGGGAGGAATAATGCCCCATCATTAGTATCAGTGGGAGGAATAGTGCCCCATCATTGGTATCAGTGGGGGGAATAGTGCCCCATCGTTGGTGTCAGTGGGAGGAATAATGCCCAATCATTAGTATCAGTGACACCAACGATGCGGCACTATTCCTCCCACTGACACCAATGACACTTGCTGACCCCTGTTCCAGTATGGTGCTGCTGCAGCCAGCATATGTGGTTGCAGCAGCACCTCTGCACTGCACACTTACCGGCTTTTCCCTCACTCGATTTTCGCGGGGGTCCGCTTGGCTCCGCCTCCTCGCCCATGATTGGCAGCCTGTGTACCTTTCCTGAGCTACAGTTCTGGCGGCCAATCACCGGTGAGGAGGCGGAGCCGAGCGGCAGGAGTGAGGGAGTGGCCCGAGTGACGGAAGGAGCAGCGCTTCCTGGATCATCGTGGGAGCCAGGTAAGAGACAGCAGCCCTCTGTCCACCCCTGTACTTAGTGTCCCTTCTGTCGGAAGGGGGGGGGCGGTGGCGGCACCGCGCCGCCCCCCCTAAAAAGTTCCACCCTAACATATACCGGCGTATAAGGAGGATTAGTGTATATAAGGGAGCTATTTCATAAGCCTCTAAACTGAGTGGAATAATAACATGACCTTGAAGAATTGTTAGTTGGATCATTTGCACAGTTCAGAAATAGCTAGCTACAGTATATGTGAGACATCTGGTCCTCCTTGCAACTTGGGCTGATAATTACTTGTTTTATAAGAGTGCAGACTCAGAAGCTGTGTAGTAAGTCAATTACTTGAAACAAACATCTAGCCAGAAAGGTTGCAGATCAGTTACTCTCCAAGATTAAGATCGCAGTTCCAGCACAAGGCATCTCTAAATATTTCAAACCACTAAAAAGTATAACAGGTTTTTTATTTTCTCACTGGTGCTCATGAAAAGTTTTTGACCGTCTGTTGCAGACTTGACATCAGTTCTTAGGATGAAGTTGCATGTTCAAACGCCAATATGAAGAACTGAAATAAGAATTTTCGGTTCATTACTTAAGACCATTTTGGGATGGGTGGTAACCATGGGCATAGGATTGTATATATAGAGATTTTCTATTTGTGTTTTTTTTTTATTCGATAAACTAGATGGACTAGTGTCTTTTTTCAACCTGATTAACTATGTACCAATGTAACTACTGCCAACTATGATAACACCATCGTTTTCAGAACCATGTTAATAACGACTACATCAAAATAGGTATACAGTACCTTGGGGATAATATTACATTTATTTACATGCAATAATATGTAATAGTAAGCTGGTAAGTGGTTGCACACTGACTGGATGACAAATAAGTGAATGTATCCCTCACATCACAGTGTGTGTGTGGGGGGATCTCTCTCTCTTAAGCCACATGCACACTGGATAATTTTGCAGCTGCTTCTAGGTACGACAGGCATTTTATTTCTTGCCTCTAAACTCCCCTGCATGTTAGCCTATGTGTCCATGCACACATAAACTTTTAGAGGCGTTTAGTAGCACAGGCTTTTAGAGGTAGGAAAAAAAAAACCCATTGCAGTGTGTCTGTGAGCAGCAGAGTTTTGTCAGAAAAACTGCTTGACACATCTAAATGCATGTTAACGCTAGACATGTTTAGTGCTTGAGAAATAATTCATTTCAATGGCCAGAATAAATTATTATTCTGGCCAAATGAAATTAATGAATGCCCAAGCACTTAAAGCCCTTAAACGTGCGTAAATGCGCCTAAATGCATTACACGCTTTTACAAGCATCAGCTGTTTTTCTGTCAAAACGCTGGTGCCAGAAGGAAAGGTGTCTAGGAGACTGCAAAACATCCGGTGTGCATGAGGCCTTATAGTCAAGTAAAAGTCCCAGATCATCAGCCTGTAAGGAGGTTCTTAATTGGCTGTGTGTTGGTGCCAAGCTATGCAAGTCCCCGCCCTTCTTCTTCTTGGATAAGACAGCTAAACACATGTTGGTAATAAATGGGGAAAAAAACGAGCGCTGGATCTGACAGATTCAAGCTGCTAGCATAAAGGTAAACCTCGTATACCCTCTTCATAGACAATAAAATACTGCAAAAATTGCAGCGCTTGAGTATATAATAAAGGGAATTAACATATATATAGCAGAATTAAAAGGAAAAAAAACATTCATTTTATGACATGCACCAGATTCAACGTTCATAAATTAATGTGAACAATGGTCAGGTAAGCAATAAAGATTCATCCAACCAATCGAAGTGCCTATAGTGATAGGGATGTTAGAGTCATTAGTTTTGGGGGTGCATCCAAGTGACAAGCAAATCCGTGACTTCCGTGATAGGAGAATAGCTGTAAAATGCACTAACCAGATAGCGCAAGTAAACGCGCATTGAAGTATAATGATCTACTCCTGGTCACAGCCAAATGGTCCGCAGCATAAAGCCCTCAGGAACACCAGTGCACCACTCTTGCCGTCTCCTACCACCAGGGGGAGTGTGCCTCTTTACAGTAACACGAAATAGCCTTATATCCTCTATGGCCAGGGTTGGTGTGCTTTCATATCAGGAGATCATCTCAGGGACTCGGCAATAAGACCCAAAAGAAAGAAATCT